CAGTCCAGGGACAAGGACTAGAAGGCAGGAGGGGACAGGAAAGCTGGTGATAGGGAAACCAAGGTTGAGAAGGGGCAGTGTTGACATGTTGCGGGGTTGTTACCCATTGTCATAGGGCAATATGCGTACTAACTGTTTAATGAGAAACTATTCTGTAAACCTTCATCTAAAGTACAAAAAAAAAAAAGAATTATCTATGTGAGATCAAATTGACAACAGTAACTCAAAAGGTTTGATGGGAAGCCGAGGGAGCAGTGAGTTGAAGATAATGGTGATGGAATAATTTGGAAAAGGATAGTGAGAATAGCAGCACAACTGGAAGAATGTAATCGGTATCACTGAATTGTACATGTAGAAATTTTTGAAATGGTGTATCTTTGGCTGTGTATATTTTCACCAAAAAAGAAAAAGAAAAGGTCCTCCAAGTTCGAGAAGGGAGAGTGTTGACATGTTGTGGGTTTGTTAACCAGCGTCATAAAACGGTATGCGTACTGACTGTAACGAGAAACTATTTGTTCTGTAAACCTTCACCTAAAGTACAATTTAAAAAAAAATAGCCCTGTCAGGAAATTCCTATCGCCATTTGCCAGATGAGGAAACTGAGACTTAAATGAAGGTGATTCCTTATCCAAGTTCACGCAGCCAACAAGAGGCTTGAACCCAGGCGTGTCTAGCTTCAGACCTCTAGCTCCTTCCATGTGGGCTTGTGTCATGGAGGCAGCTCAGTGGAGTGGTGGAGAGCATAGTTCCAGAGCCAGACTGCCTGGGTTCAAATCCTGGCTCCACCACTTACTGGTTGTGTGATTTTGGGAAAGCCACCTAACCTCTCTGGGCCTCAATTTCCTCATATGGAAAATGGGGGTAATAATAGTACCTACCTCATAGGATTGTTGGTAGAGTTGAAGGCGTTAATACGTGAAGGCATTTAGAATAGTGCTGGCACGTGCAAGTGCCCAGGAGAGTCCAGGGAGTCATTTTTGAGTAACTACCCTCCCTCACCACAGGATGGCAGTGAAGAGACAGGCGCTTCAGTCATGCAGAAAACCCCCATCATCCTCTCAAAACCTCCAGCAGAGCGGGTGAGCAGGGAAGACCCTTCAGAAGGAGGGAGGCAGGGAGGGATTAGGGCAGGGAGCTCCCCCATTGACTGGAAACTACTCGCCGCCATAGTCGAAGCAGCTGCCACCACCAACTCCAGCTCCTGCTGCCCCATCTGCCCCAGCCCCTCTGGAGAAGCCTATTGTCCTCATGAAGCCACGAGAGGAAGGGAAGGGGCCTGCGGCCGGGACAGGCGCCTCTACTCCCGAGGGCACTGCCCCGCCACCCCCTGCAGCCCCTGCACCAGCCAAGGGAGAGAAGGAGGGCCAGAGACCCACACAGCCTGTGTACCAGATCCAGAACCGGGGCATGGGCACTGCCGCGCCAGCGGCCATGGACCGTGAGTGGGGCCGGGCACGAACGGGTGGGAGCTGGCACTCCCTCACGCATACACTCTGACCCTTACTGTGACCTCTGTCTCCTGCTTTCTCCTGTCTCCAGCTGTCGTGGGCCAGGCCAAACTGTTGCCCCCAGAGCGCATGAAGCACAGTATCAAGTTGGTGGATGACCAGATGAATTGGTGCGACAGTGCCATTGAGGTACCGGGGGTGCCTCCCTGCTGAGCTTCCCCAGGTCCCGCACCTTCAGCCCCTCAGCGCTCAACTCCAGCCTCTCAGTAGACAGCTCCAGCCTGGACAGCTTTCAGGGAATGGCAGCAGTGAGAGGGGGTGGAATCAGAAAGTTCTCACCTAACCAGGGCTGAACTTCAGTGGCTTGCACCAGCTCAGCTGTGCTGGTTGTTAAAAATACTGAAATACTTTGATGCTGATTGTTAAAGAAGTGTTCCCACTGCCACCCCATGTGCCCTGGGTTGTCCTGCACCGTCCCACACAGGGGGCCTCCTGCACTGGGCTCCAGTTCTCCTCCCCTTCCCCCAGATGTTCCCCCACCTCCCTCCCAGAGGCTCTCACTCTAGTTCAGACTTCACATTCCTGGACCTTTGCACCTGCTTCCCGTCCCAGCCTTCATTTTCCCTCCTCTGCTCTCATGTCACACCCCTGCTCAACTCAGCACCCTCCCCAGTAGCCTGGACTCAGGACCACCTGCAAGTCCACTTGTTACCTGGCCCTGTCACCTCTCTATGTCCACTCTCACATTGACAGCAACTAGGGAGCTTTTTTAAAAAAAGGTCAGTGCCCAGGCTGTACCCTTCAGCACTGTCCTGCAGAACTTTTCTACAATGATGAAAATATTCTATGTTTGTACTGTCAAGTATGGCAACCATAATGAACAGCACAGTCGTAGATATTCTGATTTAATGTATCTAGGGTTGGACCCAGAATTTGCTTTTTTTTGAAGCTCTCCACGTGATTCTAAAGGGTCAGACACAGTTGAAGACATAGCTGTGTCTTTCTGGGGAGTCTTGCTTGCCCTCTGGTGGTGAACATTAGCAGAGCTAGTGGCTCAGAGGTGAAAGTCAGGAATTTCCAGAAGAGCTCCAAATCCTACAGACAAGAGCCAGGACACACTGATCTCCCCTTCCAGCACTCCACTCTTTTCCTCATACTTTCCCATGTTTTCCCAACCTGCCTCAAGCCAAGATGCCTCCCAGCCCTCAGTCACTGGGTCCAGTCTTCTCTGACCTGCCCTTCTACCCCTATGCTTCTCACCTTCTCTTCCCAAGTCCAAGCTTTTCTTTTTCCCACTGTGTTACAACCACACTGAAGTCCTGTCGGCTCCTTGACCACACCAGGCTCTTTCCTGCTTCAGAACCCTCACAGTTGCAGTTCTCTGTGCCAGGAACATTCTACACACGCCTGTTACCACCACTTACACACACAGGCTCCTTGTCCAGTTGAGGGGACCAAGGCTGTCAAATTTTTTCTTCAGGTGGGTGAGCCACAAAGATCCCTCCAGCCCCAGCAGCTGACATATTTGATAGAGTCACATCCCCACATCTTTCCACAGTACCTGTTGGATCAGACTGATGTGTTGGTGGTTGGTGTCCTGGGCCTCCAGGGGACGGGCAAGTCCATGGTCATGTCACTGTTGTCAGCCAACACCCCAGAAGAGGACCAGAGGTGAGGGGCACATCAGATGTTTGTGGAAGGCCAAGAGGGAGGCGGTTACCCCCACCTGGGGCAGGGGGAGGGTGGGCCTTGGGGTTGCAGTGGTTTTACTGAGGGACGTTGGGAAGTTGCTTTCTCTCCGTGGGCCTCAACGTCTTTATCACATGATGAGTATGGATTGGACTAAATCTGTGTAGCTCCCATCCTGTTCCTTCCTCCCTTACCCAGGAAATGACACAGAGCCCAGCCAGGAAGCAGGATGATGTAGTCATTAAGGCTTTGGATTGAGGTCCACCTTAGTCTTGGACCTGCTGCTCACCAGCTGGTTGACCTTCGGCAGATCAGTTGACCTTCCGATATCTCACTTCCTTACCTAAAAGTGGGTTTTGGGAGGATGAAGTAAAATCAGACGGGCGAAAAGTTAACAAACACCTGGCACAAAGCAAAGGCTCAAAGGATGGTGGCTGATATGGCCTGGGAGAGAGGGTAGGGACAGAGAGCTGAATGCAGGGAGCTGGGTTCTAGACCAGTCCCTGCTGTGTCACTTTGGGAGAATGACTTTACCTCTCTGACCAGGGAGGATTGTTCAGGAGGATTCCCTGGCCTGAACAACATTCTTGTGGTGTGACTGTGAAGGTAAAGGGTGGAAGCCACTGTGAATAAAGGATTTTGAGGAGATTAGAGCTTAAAAGAGAGGACCTAAAACTGGGGACAAAGAAGGAAAAAGGCAGGGATTAGGGAGCAGGGGAGATAAGCAGTCTAAGGGAGAGTCAAAATGGGGGATGAGAAGGGGTAGTAGTCACTTGGTGTTGTAAGGAACAGAGACAAATCATTTATGTCCAAAAAATAGGGGTTTATTTCTTTGATAAAGTAGGTGGTATTAGCCTGGATTCCATGGATGAGCACTGGGGGACCATGAACCCCCTAACAGTATGTGCAGGATTTAGCCCACATCTGCAGTCATTCTCACGGACCTCCGAGGGGGCTGAGGGAGACCTAGAAAAGGTTAGGAGCCACTGTTGTGAGCTCGTCCCTCCACCAGAACCGGGCTCTGAGGTTCCTCCACCTTTGGTGGACTGTCTGCCTTTCTCTTAGGTCTCTTCCCCTCTCTGCAGTGATCACTCACGGCTTTAGCTCAGTGTAGCTCCACTTGGCAACAATATTCATTCTTTCCATTTCACCTTCCACCCACAGCTAGCAAAATTTACCTCTGATTCTGGGTTCAGATTCCTAAGAAAGCATCCTGTTGGCCAGCTGGTTTTTTTGAGCCACATCAGCCTCTGGTATGGTGGCCTTTGGTGCCAACACTTGTCGTCAAGTCCTATTGGTTTTACCTCCCAGTTTATAATTCATCTGCTTCTCACCTGCTCCACTCCCACCTCCCTGGTCCAAGCCACTAGCATCTCCCTGGCAGATGCCAAGTGCCTCCTGACTGGTCTCCCTGCTTTAGTTCAATTCAGCAAGTACTTACTGAGGGCCTACTGTGTGCCAGGCACTGTTCTAGGTGCTGGGGTTACAACAGTCAATAAAAGTGACAAAAGTCTTTGTCCTCACGGGGATTGCATTTTAAATGGGAAGACAGAGTAAACAAAATAAATAAATGCGTTTGGCATGTCAAAAAAAAGTAACAAAACAAGGGAGGCAGTTGTGGGACTGGGCTACAATTTTCAGAACGATGGCGAGGGAAGGCCTTGCTAAGGGGGACATTTGAGGAAAAGCAGACTTTGAAGGAGGTAAGCATTCCAGTCCAGGGATTGGCAGGAGCTTGCCTGGCGTGTGTGCGGCTAGCTTGGGGGCTGATGAGCTGGAATAGCGTGAGCAAGGGAGTCATAGAAGATGAGGTCAGAGAGGCAGAAAGAGGCCCAGTGGTACTGGGCCTTGTAGGCCATTACCCACTCTTTCTGCCCTGCAGTCCTCGCCACATTGCTGTAAGGGGGAGCTTTTGAAAACCAAAATCCGATCTGATCACTCCTCTGCTTAAATCTCTCCAGTGGCTTCTCCAGGCTCAAAGGCCAAAGCCCAGCTCCTTACCATGCCTCGCAAGGGCCTGTGTGGCCTCTTCTTGCTCCCTGCCCCTCTCACTCTCTGCTCTAAACGTGCTGGTCTTTCATTCCTTGTACAATTCACCTGTCCTCTGCCTGGAATATTCTTCCTCTGTCTCTGTCCTCGCACATGCTCCCGCTTGCCTAATTAACCCTGTCTTTCATCTGTGGCATTGTTATTCCCCTCTTCAGGGGAGCCCTCCCCAGCTCCACCCACTAAGTCATCCCCACTTGACGCAGTACTTACCTCTCCTTCTAACACCCACAGTTACTGATGTACATGTATTTGTAAGCTAGACCAGAAGCTCCTTGGGAGCAGAGACTGTCCATTTCACTGCTATGTCCTTGGTATCTGGCACTTAGGAGGTCTTCAGTACCTCCGCGTTTGTTAAGTGGAAGGCTACCTGCTTTCTGTCAGACAACAAAAAAGCATCTCAGAGAGGTAGGAATTTCCCTTTGAGAGGTAGGTACTCTTATCCTGATTTTACACATTGAAAGACGTATAGTCAGGTTTGTCCCGATTGTTAAGTAAAAATCCATTTGTCGCAGTCATGGAGTGACCAAGTTGAGCTCAGTGGTTTAGAGCAAGGCCTAGCTCTGCCGGCTTTGCCCGTATGTCCCCAGCACCCAGCGTGGGTAGAAATGAGGGTGACTGCTGATGGGGAAGAGCTGGGAACCAAGACACCAGACTACCTCTAACCGTGGGGTGTTCAGTGCTGCATCCCCAGTGCCTGGCATAGAGCAGGTGCACTTGGTAACTGATAGTTAACAATAATATACCATCTGTCAGGCACTTTTCTAAGGGTTTTACATGTATTAACCTCCCAGTAACCCTAGAGGCTTGGTGCCGTTGTTACCCTCATTTTACAGATGAGGAAACTGAGGAGAAAGACGTTAAGGAACTTGCCCAGTGCTATGCAACCAGGAAGAGGCAGGGCTGGAATTTGAGCCCTAGCAGTCTGTGAGTCCTTACTCTTAAACTCCTCTGTCTGCTGATCTTGTTAAGTAAACTAACGAATCTGCTGATAAGTAGGAGTGAAGTCATATGGTATAAAACATGCCCCCCTCAGACAGCAGGGGCCTTGGATGGAAGGCTTTGTGGGCAGGCAGGGAACCCAGCCTCACATAATCGTTTTGCAAGGTCACACTCTGGAGATGTCAGAGGCCTAGAACCAGACCTCTCATGTACCCCCACTCCCTCCTCTCCTCAGGGCATATGTTTTCCGGGCCCAGAGCGCTGAAATGAAGGAACGAGGGGGCAACCAGACCAGTGGCATCGACTTCTTCATTACGCAAGAGCGGATCGTTTTCCTGGACACGCAGGTGCCAGCCCTCACCTGCCCCGTCCTGCTGCACGGCTCATCCACCCCCATCTCTGAATGCTTTCAAGCCAGAACCCTGCTTGGGTTCCATGTGGTTCCAGTCAAGCCACAGACATGCCGGGTGCCCTTGGGCAATCTCTTCCTAGCCCTCAGTATCCTCTTGTCAAGATTTGTCTCCCTCTCATCCAGCTTCTACGTGGTAGCCTAAAGAATCTTCCGGTACAGTGGTTAAAAGTCTGGGCCCTGGGGCTAGGCTGTCTGTATTTTAGGTCCTGCCTTTAGATCTTACTAGCTGGATAGCTTTGTATAAGTTTTAACCCCTCTAGACCTGAGTTTCTTCATCTGTAAGTGAGTATGATAGTTGTACTCAACCTCAGAGGATAGTTGTGAGGAATCAGTAAAACAGTTCAGGCAGTCTTGGCGCAGGACCAGACGCGCTTAGCCCTCAGGCTCGTCAGACTACTGCTGGAGCTGACCGACCATGTGTTTGTTGACAGGCAGCTTTCCTCAGCTTTGCCACTGCTCGCAGGCAGAGTCTGTGTTTCTCATCCTGGCATTCAGAGCTTGTGAGGCCTTGACTCCTTCAGACATTTCTAGCCTCACCCTCTGTGGCATGTTCGCTGGCCCCACCACCGCAAGTGCACCACGAGTCCTCGCCACGGTCTCTCCCCCTGGGCCTTCCACATCCTGTGCCCTGCACCTGGAGCCACCTACGAGCCGTGTGACCTTGACCAAGTTATTTAACATTTCCACTCCTTAATTTTCTCTTCTGTAAAATGGGGAAAACAATATTGCCCACTTCATAGGGTTTTTGTGATGTTTCAATGAGTTAATTCAAGGGAAGTCCTTTCAGCAGCACCCAGCACATCAAAAAAAAACCAAACCCATTGCCGTCAAGTCGATTTTGACTCATAGTGACCCTATAGGACAGAGTAGAACTGCCCCGTAGGGTTTCCAGGGAGCAGCTGGTGGATTCGAACTGCCAACGTTTTGGTTAGCAGCCAAGCTCTTAACCAGTACTCCACTAGAGCTCCAAACTCATTACCATCAAGTCGATTCAGACTCATAGCAACCCTATAGGACAGAGTAGAACTGCCCTGTAGGGTTTCCAGGGAGCAGTGGGTGGATTTGAACTGCTGGCTTTTTGGTCAGCAGCCATAGCTCTTAACCATTGCGCCACCAGGGATAATACTCTTAGCTGTTAGTACCATTATTATTAGAACACGCTCTCTCTCCTTGCTTTTTTGCCCATATAATGTCTTCTCCAAGGAGCCCTGGTAGTGCAGTGGTTAAGCGCTCCGCTGCTAACTGAAAGGTTGGTGATTCGGACCCACTAGCGGGAGAAAAGACCTGGTGATCTTCTCCCATAAAGATTACAGCCTTTGAAATGCTAAAGGGCAGTTTACTGTGTCCTATAGGGTTGCTATGAGTCGGTATTGATTTGACAGCAGCGGGTTTTAAGGAGCCCTGGTGGTGCAATGGTTAAGCACTAGACTGCTAACTGAAAGGTTGGCCGTTCAAACCCATCAGCCACTGCACAGGCGGAAGACCTGGTGATCTGCTTCTGTAAAGATTACAGCCTTGGAAGCCCTGTGGGGCAGTTCTCTGTCATACAGGGTTGCTATGAGTTGGAATCAACTCAGTGGCAACAGGTTTAATGCCTTTTCCTCCCTGAAGACACTGCTGGGTCGCTGCCTACTCCTGGCAGCCTTCCCCTCCTCTGAGTGCCCACTGTTGGCCTGTGTACCCTCCGTGACAACAAGTCATCCACCAGTCTCAGTGCTGTGCACGGCTCCCTTTCCAGCTGCCTGGAGCACTTTAGGTGAGGAGCCCTGGCTGTTGGCCAAGGGCACGGGCCTGGCCCATAGTCAGTGCTCAGTCAGTATTGGTGGAACAGAGGAGTTCTGATCACTGTGGGCATTGATGACACGAGAGTGAAAAACATTCTACACATGTGGCACCTGGCCTGTGTGCCAGGCCATGTGCAGGGGCCACCAGGACCTCGAGCCAGATTGAACATGCTGTGAGCTGGGTCAGGGGCCCATTGGGGGAGAACAGAAGTTAACAAGCCAGAATAGAATTGCACTGTGTTTGGTGTTTTAGAGTGAGCGGTCTAAAAGAAGACTCCTCTAAAAGAAGTGTCATGCAGTAAGAAGTCAACAGACTTTCAAGCTAATTTATGTCTTATAGTTTTTAAATTCGGAGCCTTGGTGGCCCAGTGGTTAAGAGGTCGGCTGTTAACCAAAAGATCAGCAGGTCGAATTCACCAGCCTCTCCTTGGAAACTATGGGGTAGCTCTACTCTGTCCTATAGGGTCACTGTGAGTCGGAATCAACTCAGTGGCAATGGGTTTGGGTTTTTGAGTCTTTAAATTCAGGACTCCTTTAAGAAAAGTTTGGTGAGCTCACCACCGATCGTTTTCCATACACTGGTGCGATTTTTAAAACCTCACCAATTTTCACACGAACGATTGTTTTTTGACCCAAGTAGTTAGCAAAGTTTTGAAAGCATTTCAAACAGCTAACAACACAAAGGGTCTTTAAGGGCATGACTCATTCACATTAGTGTTATTACATTTATTAGCAGGAAGCAATTTCTCCTTTTGGGGCAGGAGGAGCTGGAGAGCAGCGCTGACTGCATGCAGGAGTTGGGGAAAGTATCTGCTCTGAAACTTTTCTCTTGAGCCTCACAGAGTCTTGCTGGCTAGCACTGCTAATCAGAAGCTTCCCGCTTGTGTTTCTGGCCTTATTTTGTTCTGAGAGTGGCAGTGTACTTGCCTTCAACATGTGGAACTTGGGTAGCTGTGACCCCTAGGGTCCCATCCCCCAGCGCCTTCCCTGACACCCTCTTCTGTTGCTTGCACAGCCCATCCTGAGCCCCTCCATCTTGGACCATCTCATCAATAACGACCGCAAACTGCCTCCAGAGTACAACCTTCCCCACACCTATGTTGAGATGCAGGTGAGATCCCCCCTGCCTGCCCCAGGAGATCTGTGATGGTGAGCTAGATAGGGCTGACCTGGTCTCTGCTTCAGAATAGCCCGGGTGCCCCAAGGGCTGTAGGATGAGGAGGCATGGAGAGTCAGCTGGTTCCCCCCCTGGCTCTGCCCCGCAGGAGAGTCACTCCCACCCGCGCCCTCTTCAAGCCTCCATACCACCTGTGTAGAATGGACTGGTGATTCCTGCCTTGCAGGATTTCAGGACAGCCCTTGTGGAAAGTGCTTAGCACAGTGCTGGGCACACAGTGGCTGCGCAAAGGCTCTGCAGCCCGTGCCCTGCTGCTCCCTCAGCTGAGTCTTAGAATCAGGGAACCCAGTTCTGGAAAGGGGCCCCCCAACTCTGTTGTCACTTCCTGCCCACCCTCAGTCACTGCAGATCGCTGCCTTTCTTTTCACCGTGTGCCACGTGGTGATTGTCGTCCAGGACTGGTTCACGGACCTCAGTCTGTACAGGTGAGGAACTGGTGGGGATGTGTGGGGCAAGGGGGGTTGGTGAGACAGGAGACAGAGCGCCAGGGACTTGGAGCCATTGGCCCAAGGTCTCACAAGTTCCACACAGCAGCCAGAGGGACCCTTTTAAAATGTAAGCCAGAGCAGCCCCCCTACACACACACAAAGGCATACAACCCTCTGCTGATTTTGCACATTGCTTAGGACACAATCCAAAGTCCTTCCGTGCACGGCTTACATGGTCCTTGCGATCAGTTCTTGGTCACCTCTCTGACACTGTCTCCCACTCCTCCCTCGCTTTCTCCTTGCAACCGCACTGGCCTCGGGGCTGCTCCTCACCCAGCCCAGGGCCTCTGCTCCCCTCACCGCTCAGCTGGAAACACTTCCCACACGTCTTCTCAGATGCCCTCCCTCGTGTCCTTCAAGCCACCCTCAGACCTTCCCTGACCGTCTTCCATATCCCCCCCCTTTCCTCTCACCTCTTACTCTGCTGTACTTTCCTTCATTACCCTTATCAGCCCCTGACAGGTCTGTTTATGATCTCTCTCCCTCACTAGAATGGAAGCCTCAGGAGGGCAGGGTCCCCAGTGCCTCACACAGTGCCTGGGACACTTGTTGAATGGCTGGTGTGGTCGTTGGAGTCCTGGCCATCTCCTCCGGGCATGTGTGTCCTCCCCTTGGTCCTCTGGCAGGCAGGGAAGGAGAGGGAGTCAGGGCTTGGCAGGGTGTCTGCCTGAAGTAGCCAGAGGCTCCAGGAGTGCCCCCACTACAAGACTGGCTCAGAACCTCAGGCCACAGTGATTCCCCTTGGCCTCAGGTCCCAGTAGACAGCTATTGGGGAGGCCAGCAGCTTTGGGCACAGGGCACAGGCAGAAGGAAAGAACCGGGGCTCACAGGGAGGGAAGAGCCAGGATTGAGGAAGCAGATGGCTCCAAAGTCAGGCAGCCCTGGGTCTGAATCCCAGCCCTTATCGGGCGTGTGTCTTCCCTTTTCTCATTTCCTCAACAGCAGGACTATTTTGGGCGGGTTAAGTGAGTTACAGACTTTAAAGCATTCAGCAGAGTATCCGGCTATAGTAAGCACTCGATAGATGGAGGCTCACTGGTTTTATTAGTAAGCCTGGGGGCGGGGGTGAGCTGTGGGTCTGACTGGCAGCAGTAGAGACTTGCTGGAGTAGCCAGCTGTTGCGGCCAGATCTGAGTGACTTAATTGTGACACACCCCTCCCACCACCATCGGCCACTGGGATTCATTCATTCGGCAGACGTTTGGACCATCTGTGTATGCCGGGCACTGTTCTGGGCATGGGGGATACAGAAGGATACTGCCCAAGAGGAGTTTATGGTCTTGGGAGGATGTTGGCTCAGGGGCTGGCATGGGGCAGAGCTTTGTGTATAAGGCCAGAGTCTACAGATGGGCTTCTCAAAGGCGGTGAGCCCTGGATAGTGTGGATGATGGGTTTGTGTGTTCCAGGGTGTCTTGTGTGGGGACAGTACCCACAGTTTTTATCAGATGCCCTTATTCCTTACCTTAAATGACAAGTTTATTTGCTCTTATATATTCAAGGAATCTGTTATTGTTGTTTTGGAGCCCTGGTGTACAGTGGTTGACAGCTGTAGCTGCTAACCAAAAGGTCAGTGGTTTAAATCCACCAGCCGCTCCTTGGAAACCCTATGGCGCAGTTCTCCTCTGTCCTACAGGGTCGCTGTTAGTCGGGATTGACTCGATGGCAATGGGTTTGGTTTTGGGTTTTTTTATCATTATTATTTTAAGGTGTCCTGGTGGTGCACGGGAGCCCTGGTGGCGCAGTGGTTGAAGGCTGGGCTGTTAACCAAAAGGTCCGCAGTTCGAATCCCCCAGCTGCTTCTTGGAAACCCTATGGGGCAGTTCTAATCTGTCCTATTAGGATCACTATGTGTCGGAATTGACTCGACGGCAGTGGGTTGGGTTTGGTGGCGCGTTGGTTAAGCACTTGGCTGCTAACTGAAAGGTCGGCAGTTCGGACCCACCAGGTGCTCCGTGGGAGAAAGACGTGGCAGTCTGCTTCTGTAAAGATGACAGACTTGGAAACTCTGTGGGGCAGTTCTGCTCTGTGCTGTAGGGTCACTATGAGTCAGAATCGACTCAGTGGGAATGGGTTCGGTTTTGGTCTATTATTATTTTAAAATAGTGTAAACACATAAAAAATGCATGCAGTTGACATGGGCCCATGTACTGGTGTCTGAGAGAGTGGTCTCATTTTCCTGAGCATGGCTGTAGCTTTCATCAGATCCTCAAAGGGAGCACCATCCCCACACAGTGGGACATGGGGTGCCAGTGCAGGAGTGACAAGGTCTCCCCCCAAAACCCCAAGGTTCCTGCAGACAGCAGAGATGGTGAAGCCCTCCACCCCATCCCCCAGCCACGAGCCCAGCAGTTCATCAGGCTCTGATGAAGACACCGAGTACTACCCCCACCTGGGTGAGAGGCTTTTGGGGGGCTGGCTGGGCAGGTGGGAGCAAGAAGGAAGGGGAGGGGGGAGAAGCAAGGAGCACTCCGGGGAGATGGGGAGGAAGAGGAGGGTGGGAAGCTGGGAGGTGTCCCCTTCTGAGAGTTGTGAGGAGGGAAGTCAAAACGGATTAGGTGCTACTTCCTCTCAGGCTCCCACTCCCTCAGCCCAGCCCTGGCCCTCAAGGTCTGGCCACCCGAGTCTGGGTCTGGCTCTGTGATTAGACTGGCAATCTTTTGGGGTCACTGGCATTTCCCAGCATGGGCTCAGGAAATGAGTGTTTAGTGACTCCAGGGGCCCCGTCCGCCCCATTCTCCCTCCTCTAGCCTTTGCACATGCGGTTCCTCATGTCCTTTCTCGGCTGTACTAACACACTTGTCTTTTCCAAAGTTCTCCCGCACTTATGACCCCACCCCACCCCACCCCACCCCACCCCACCCCAGACTCTGGCCTCGCTAAGCCCCGTGTGCCTCTTCTGTCATACGCCTGACCGTGGAGCCATCTTCCTCACCTCTCTTCCATGAGGCTGGGGGCTCCTTGAGGGCAGAAGCCAGATCTGTCCCCAGCATTGCCCTGCACAGGGCCTGGTGCTAAGTGGGAAGTTACATCAACGTTTACCCAGTGATCTGAACTGAGGGGTAAGGGCAGATCCTTGGGGTGAGATGGGAGTCCACAAGGCCTCGCCCCATCTGCCTCACCAGGGCCCCATCTCCCTTCCCGCCCTCAGTCTTCCTGCAGAACAAAGCTCGACGAGAGGACTTCTGTCCCCGAAAGCTGCGGCACATGCACCTGATGATCGACCAGCTCATGGCCCACTCCCATCTGCGCTACAAGGGTGAGGGTGCCCAAACCCCCACCCTCACCCTGGCCAGCAGCCTCCTAGCTCCTGACCCAGCCCATGGCACAGACCGCAGACGAGCTTCCTGACCCCAATGCAACCATCGCCCCCTCCCCACAACACAGTACTGGCAAGCTGACGCGGTCTCTCCTCCAGGTACTCTGTCCATGTTACAGTGCAACGTCTTCCCGGGGCTCCCTCCTGACTTCCTGGACTCTGAGGTCAACTTGTTCCTTGTGCCTTTCATGGACAGCGAAGCAGAGAGTGAAAACCCGCCAAGGGCAGGTGCAGTCACCCCTCAGGGGCATCTGGTCCGTAGAGACAGGTCCTTCCCTGGTCTGGGGAGACACGGGCCCCCACCCTGGTCGGAGGGAGACATGGACCCACTCTGGTCTGAGAGGAGACTGGGATGGCTTTGGTCTGGGGGTGACGTGGACCTGTACTGACCTGGGAGTGACATGGGCCACCCTGGTCTAAGAGGAGGGTGTCCCCAAGACACTTGAACCCTTTCCTAGGAACCTTTTGCAGAGTCGTGCAGGCACAGGAGGAGCTGGGCCAGGCCTTACCTCCGAGTGCTCCATGAAGTCCAGGACACTGGTTGACTGGAAGGAGGGCCCTGCCTGGCAGGTTACCCCCCCTTACTCTCCCCCGAAACCTTCCAGGACCTGGCTCCAGCCCACTCTTCTCCCTTCTGCCTGGGTACCGTGGCCACCCCAGTTTCCAGTCTTTGGTGAGCAAGCTCCGGAGCCAGGTGATGTCCATGGCCCGGCCACAGCTGTCGCACACGATCCTCACTGAGAAGAACTGGTAAAAGCCCTTGGCAGAGGGGTTCAACGCAGACGTCCACCCGGGTGCAGAGAAGGGGGCTCCTAGAGATCTGTGTGACCCCAATAAGGCCCTTCCCCTCTCCAGCCTGTTTCCTTTTCTGAAATGTTGGCAGTTGCTACCATCTTGTAAGCAATTCTCCCATTCCGGCAACCTGCAGTCTTGAATTTCTCCTCTTGATTAATCAGTGATTTGTGGGGAAATTTAGGCTCAGAGAGGAAGTGGCTTGTCCAAGGCCACAAAGGGAGGAAGTACCTGTGGGTAAGTGTCATTTGATTGTTAGAAGTAGGACCAGTCAGCCCAGTTAAGCTTACAGAAGGTCTGTTACAAGGATCCTTTCTGGGTGCAGAAAGCATAGCCTCACAGGAGACAGGAGCCAGCAAGCCAGTGGAGCCCCAGAAGCTGCACCTTCCAGCTCTCCCAGGTTGCATGACCTCATCCTCTTTCCTCTCTCTCTGCCTGCTGGCATTCCCCGCCTGGCCTTGGCACAGCCCTGCACCACCTCCGCAGCCCCTACTTCATGTGACTGCCTCTGTCCAGAGCCCACAGCAGATGGATCCAGGGACGCCCCATCTTATTCTCAAACTCCTATGAAGGATAACTAGATGGGCCTCGGGCCTGGCTCCCCTTGGTCTGCTTGTAGTCAGCTGTGGCCAGAAGGGCCAAGGGGTGCAGACAACAGTAGGCAGCCATTCTGGGGAGCGCAGGGCGGGAGCGGGCGGCGCTAGTTTCAGTCCCAGCTCTGCTCCTCCCTTTGGGCTACCCAGGGCCCAGTCGGGGGAGGAGAATTCGGGGGTGGAAGGTTGTGCAGCTGCTGTTCAGTGTTTCTCATCATCACAAGACCCTGGAGGGAACTGGAGATAGGAGCCCCCACCCACACAAGCCAACACTGAGCAGAGTGGGAGGAATTCTGGACTTGGGGGGTGGGGACTTGAGGTCTTAGCCCAAGCCCAGCACCTTCAGCTTTGTCTACCCTGGGTGAGGTAAGAAAAGCAGGACCACCTCCCTTCACTGCCAGCATCTCCCTTAAGTCCCAGTTGAGGGGACCAGGCTCCGAGAGGCTCAGACCCACACCTCAGGTCAGACGCTAGGCCTCAGTTTCTTCACCTGTCCAGGGCAGGTGTCAGGCGGGGTGGGGCCCAGCCAGGGCCACCCTGACTGCTGACGTCCTCTCACAGGTTCCATTATGCTGCCCGGATCTGGGATGGGGTGAGAAAGTCCTCTGCACTGGCAGAGTATAGCCGCCTGCTGGCCTGAGGCCGAGGGAGGAATGTCATGCAGGGAACCCCCTTCCGGGTCTCCGGTGGACGGCGAGGGAACACACGCGTCCTCCCTCTGGCACGTGGAGAGTGGCAGCGGGTCTGAGGGACGAAGACCGCGACTTTCTCAGCTGGAGACACGAGGTGTCCAGGGCCAGGCCCACCTCAATGGAGGGTTGTTCAGGTGGTGACTTTGAGATCCCGCCCCGACCTGCAATGGGGCGGCCCTCCTGAGTCCCCCACAGGGACAGGCAGTGGGAGGGGCCTGAATGGTCATAGCAGGAAGCCCAAGCTCCATCTTGACCCCCCTCTGCAGGGGCAGCAGCTACAGGTCCGTCTTCCCTGACTCCAGGGGATAAAGCGTGAGACAGGGTCTGGAGGGCTCTTTTTTGGGGTAGGTCTGGTGGTTCACATAAATATTGTCATGCAAGCCTGGTCTCGTATTCGTATTCCTTTCTATCCAGCATGCTGTCCTGGGAAGCAGGGCACCTTTGGCACCAGCTGTTGTGGGCAGGTTGTCCTCGGCCACCCATTGGAGCCTGAACTTCCTGCAGAGACACATCCACTGTGGGTCACAGGGTTGTGTGGAGCAGATGAATACTGAAAGCCCCTAGAAAGGGGTGTTCTGTTTCCCAGGGTGCCATCAAGCCTCCCATCTTGGTGGGATATAGATGGGAGAACACAGCATCAACCCTCAGTTAAATACAGTACCCCCCTCGTTTGTTCTCACTCCAAGGCTGTACCTGGCTTTGGTTAAATGCATTAAATACAGTGGCTACTTGTGGTTATAAAATAGAGCATGTCCTTAGTGACACAGGGTACTTACTCTAGTTGATACGGTTTCTACTCTTGTTCAGATACCATACGTTACCCTTACAGACAGTGCCTGTGGTTGGCTAAATATAGTGCCTTCCCTTATATCCCTTGTCTACTCTTGGTGAAAAACAGTCCCAGTGTGCTGTCACAGCAGCTAGAGTCACATAACAATGTGTGTATAAATTTTTGTATGAGAAACTAACTTGAACTGTAAACTTTCACTTAAAGCACAATTAAAAAAAAGAGAAGCGGTCCCTACCCTGGTGGTGCAACAGTTAAGTTCGGCTGCTAACTGAAAGGTTGGCGGTTCAAGCCCACCCAGCCTCTCCGAGGGAGAAAGACCTGGCGATCTGCTCCCATGGAGATTACAGCCAAGAAGACCCTATGGGGCTCTTCTACTCTGTCACATGGGGTCGCTATGAGTTGAAAGTGGACGCAACAGCACCTAACAACACCTTTAATTTACATCCAGAACCTACTCTCAGGTAAATACTCTTTTTACCTTCAATATAGTACATAATCTTGGTTCAGTGTTTCCCAAAGTGTCTCTCCAAATTGATGTGTTCACCCCACCCACCTCAAGTTAGCCCTGACCCTCAAATCATGCCACTGCATGCTGTCAATAAATCCATCAGTTCTCTAGCCAGCTGAATGCCTCATCCACCCAGTACCCCCAATGCCACTTCTCTGGCTTCCCTTTGCCCTCGGCATACCCATACAGCTCTGCTATGTGTGTAAATCCCTGGATCTTTCGAGAAAAACAGCAGAAGGCAGTGGGGGGCAGTGAAGAGTACTCAGCAGGCCTGAGAAGGTCTGGCCGGAAGTGGGAATCCATGCTTGACTCTACAGAGGGGCTGTGGAGTGGAGGTAGAGCTGGAGCAGCCTCGGCACTGTCACTCCCTCCCTGACTGTGAGCCTTAGGGGGCGCCCTCCTCTCTGGCCCTCCATGATCCCAACATTATGGTAATCCTCGAGGTCCCGAAAGCTGTGACATTCACTCCCCCCTTACGGAAATGCTTCTAATCGTATTGTCCCACTGCCTCGACCTGCGCTGAAACTCCTGTCCTCTCTAGCTAGTTACCTGCTCTTCCCATGCCCCGTGTCCCATCCCCAACTCTGGTTGACTTGGGGGTTCACCAGTGGTGAAGGTGGGAGCAGTGGCCAGAGAGGGCATAAGACCAAAGGCAGAAACATACAAGCACATGGCTGAGCCCAGTAGAGCTGGGGCTTGAGTTTCTTCCTTCCTATCCCCCAACCCCAGCCATCCTGGGGACAGCTTGTGTCCTCCACACCCTTCCCTGCCACCTCCGGCTGACCTAGGCTCATGATTCAGATTCACTTGGGAGCTTGTGGTTCGTGTTGGTGAAGAAGGGCTGAACCAGCACACTCTAGTTGTCCTTGGCTGCCACCTCCAGGGACGTGTGGGGCACCTGGTAGGTGGTGACAAAGGAGATGCAGCAGGTGGCCAAGGTGCCCAGCATAGGCATAGCAGCTCCTGGGTGAAGGTGGAGTCCGCTCCAGAGGCCTGGCCCAGCAGTTCCACCGCCAGTGCCTCAGTGACCTTGGTCCACAGGCCCTGTGTTGCCACCAGGATCTGGGGCTGGCGCTGGCCTCTGCTCAGCCAGTTTGCCGAGGGCGTAGCTGTCTAGCCCGCAGCTGTTTGCGGTAGCCTTCCAGGCAGTGCATGAGTGTGTCCAGGTCACATGACACACCCTGTTTATGTCCAGCACAGGACTCAGGTTGATGCCACAGGCCACTGTGGCCACCAGCCAGTGTACTGCCGCAGTAATGCCTCCTCTAGGATGGACCACGAGATGACGGGCACAGTCACTGGGAACACACGCCACTTGTGGTCTCCAGTTTTTACCATCCTCCAGCAGGTGGAAGTCATATTGCCCAACTTAAACATGGAGAGCAAGAAGACCTTGGGGTCCTTCACACCCTCCACTGCAGGAAACAAGGGCACCGCTCAACAGGTTTCCACATCAGAGAAGGCTGTGGTGTCCTGACAGCTGCTTGAGCTCAAGCACTTGTCACAGGTCTGCACCGCACACATGAGTGTCAGCTTTGGAGGAGTCCCTGGGTGGCGTAAATGGATGAGTGCTGGACTACTAAACCAAAGGTTAGCGGTTCAGACTCACCTAGAGGTGCCTCGGAAGATAGGCCTGGCAATCTGCTTCTGAAAGGTCACAGCCTTGAAAGCCTTATGGAGCAGTTCTACTCTGCACACATGGGGTAGCCATGAGTCAGAATTGACTTGACGGCAATTAGCAACCTCAGCTCTGGAGCCAGGCTGCCTGCTACCTATCACCTGCGTGGCCTTGGGCAGCTTACCAAACCTCTCCCAACTGCCATTTGCTTATCTGTGAAATAAGATAACCATTGTACCTGTCTCCTAGGGGTGTTGGGATGATGAAATGAGCTCATGGAAATAGTGCCTTGGGATCCACCTTCATTTCTACCACACCTGTGCAGATCAAGCTGGGATCCTCGTCTGGCGGTCCCCAAATGGCATTGACCAAGGTCACTGGCTTAGTTTGGGTTCTCTAGAGGAGCAAAACCAGTGAGACATATATAAATATATATGTATTTATATGTACATAAAAAGATTTACTTCTCTCTGTGCTGGCATACAAGATTGTGGGGGGCTGGCAAATCCAAAATCTGCAGGTCAGGCAGCAGGCCAGAGACTTCTGCAGGCTTACGTCCCAAGATCAGTAGGTCAGGCTGTGAGAAGAATGCAGGGTCAAAAGAGAAACTGAGTTCTATGAGAACATCCTTTATTTTCTGGAGGTAGGCCACACCCCCCGAGGAAACTCCCTGTCTTAGTTATCTAGCGCTGCTATAACAGAAGTACTGTAAGTAGATGGCTTTCACAGTCTAGAAGGCTAGAAGTCCAAATTCAGGGTGCCAGCTCCAGAGGAAGGCTTTCTCTCTGTTGGCTCTGGGGGAAGGCCCTTGTCATCAGTCTTCCCTGGTCAAGGAGCTTCTCAGCATAGGGACCCCAGGTCCAGAGGATGCACTGTTCTCCTAGCTCTTCTTTCTTGGTGGTATGACGTCCCCAAAATTCCATGTCCTTGCCACACGTAAGACACATTTCACCCCCCATATCATTGCAAAAGTCTTAACTCCAAGTCCAAAATCCAAAATTTCCTCTTCATCTGTGAAATCTAGAATGCAAGTTACATTCTTCCAAAGTACAATGGTGGAACAGGCACAAGCTAGACATTTCCATTACCAATGAGAGAAATTGGAGGGAGAGAAAGGATAACAGGCACCAAGCAATTCCAAAACCCAGCCGAACAATTTACATTAGCTCAGCTGATTAGTTAATCATATCAATCACATCATGGAAAGTAATGACATTACATTTGTCTAGTTATCTAGTGCTGATATAACAGAGATAACACAAGTGGATGGCTTTAACAAATTTATTCTCTCACAGTCTAGGAGGCTAGAAGTCTGAATTCAGGGCACTAGCTCAAGGGGAAGGCTTTCTCTGTCGGCTCTGGGGAAAGGTCCTTGTCATCAATCTTTCCCTGGTTTAGAAGCTTCTCAGCACAGGAACCCTGGGTACAAAGAACCCACTCTGCTTCCGGTAATGAGGTCCCTCTGCTCTCTGCTTGCTTCTCTGTTTTCTAATCATTATAATCATAATTGTTATGCTTGAGCCCACTGTTGCAGCCACTGTGTCAATCCATTTCGTTGAAGGTCTTCCTCTTTTTCACTGACCCACTACTTTACCAAGCATGATATCCTTCTCCAGGGACTAATCCCTCCTGATAACGTGTCCAAAGCATGTTCCTTGCTTCTAAGGAGCATTCTGGCTGTATTTGTTTCTTTTTTGTTCTTATGCTTAAGTCAAAGTTTACAATTCAAGTTAGTTTCTCATACAAAAATTTCTCATACACATTGTTAAATGACCCTAGTTGCTCTCCCTGTACTGTGACAGCACACTCCTCCCTTCCAGCCCAGATTTCGCGTGTCCATTCAACCAGCTCCTGACCCTCTCTGCCTTCTCATCTCGCCTCCGGGCAGGAGCTGCCCGTTTAGTCTCATGTTATCTACTTGAGCTAAGAGAGTTGGCCTTGGGAATGGTTTTAGTTCTAGGCTAACAGTCCAGGGGCCATGTCTTTCTGGGGTCCCTCCAGTCTCGATCAAACCAGTCTGGTCTTTTTACTAGAATTTGAGTTCTGCACCCCACTTTTCTCCTGCTCTGTCAGGGACTCTCTGTTGTGTTCCTTGTCAGGACGGTCCTTGGTGATAGCTGGACATCATCTAGTTCTTCTGGTCTCAAGCTGATGAAGTCTCTGGTTTATGTGGCCCTTATCTGTCTCTTGGGCTGATATTTTCCTTGTGTCTTTGGTGTTCATTCTCCTTTGGTCCAGTTGGGCTGGGACCAATCGATGCATCTTAGATGGCCACTCGCAAGCTTTCAATACCCCGGACGCTACTCACCAAAGTGGGATGCAGAACATTTTCTTAATGAACTTTGTTATGCCAGTTGACCTAGATGTCCCCTGAAACCATGGGTGTGTTTCTTCCAAGACAGATTTGTTCGTTCTTCTGGCAGTCCATGGTATATTCAATATTCTTCACCAACACCACAATTCAAAGGTGTCAATTCTTCTTCAGTCTTCCTTATTCATTGTCCAGCTTTCACATGCATATGAGGCGATTGAAAACACTATGGCTTGGGTCAGGCGCAAGTCCTTACAGTGACCTCTTTGCTTTTTAACACTTTAAAGAGGTCTTTTGCAGCAGATCTACCTAACGCAATGCGTTGTTTGATTTCTTGACTGCTGCTTCCATGGGCGTTGATTGTGGATCCAAGTAAAATGAAACCCTTGACAACTTCAGTCTTTTCTCTGTTTATCATGGTGTTGCTTACTGGTCCAGTTGTGAGGATTTTTGAGGATTGTGGGGCTGGCAAGTCCAAAATCTGTAGGTTAGGAGGCAGGCTGGAGACTACTGCAAGCTTACATCCCAAAATCCATAGGTCAGGCGACGGGATGAGTGCAGACTAGAGCGAGCAAGCAAGTTCTGTTCCAAATATTTATGTAGACTCTGAAGGCAGACCACACCCTTAGGAAATTTCCCTTTCAACTGATTGGCTGATTACATTATAGAAGATGATTACATTGCATTTTGGAACAGCAACTTGTCTAGTATTTGGCCAAACCAAATGGGAATCATAGCTTAGCCACGTTGACATATAAAAGTGACCATCACAAGCAGAAACTGGACCAGAGAAGGCGAAGCCTGAGCAGGAATAGGGGCTGAGGGGATTGGGAAGGGGGACAGAGGTGGGAGAGGTGGAGGCAGAAAGGACAGAACATCAATCCAGTTGGCTGCGGGAGGTGAAGGGGAGGGAGGAGACAAAAGCCCACTCTGTCCCCACGGACTTTAGCACCAGCATGGTGAGAGCATGGGCAATTTGGGCCTGACCTACCACCCCAGCCCCACTCGGGGGCCGAGTGCAGTGTTTAGGATAATGTGGGAGGTCCACAGGGCACAGGGATGGGGGACCCTCTTAGTCTGGCCACCACTCGTCTGTTTGCCATACCGTGGTGACTTGCATGTTGCTATGATGCTGGACGCCATGCCACTAGTATTTCTGAGCGTGGGTTTGGGACCATCTGTCTTGTGCATCTGGAAGTCTGGGATTTCCCTCCCATGATCCCCTGTACCCCCTTTAGTGCCCAAAGGCCCGTGTGAACCCCCAAGTGGTCCTGCCAGAGCCTACGGGGCAGTCTTCCAGGAAGAGGGGAGCCCTTTTCATAGAGCACAGAGCTCATCAGCAAAGGGAATTGACACCCCCCTTTAATCCTCCAGGTAAAAATGCACCCTCTTAGTCTGGCCACCACCCATCTGGTGGCTTGTGTGTTGCTATGATGCTAGAAGCTATGCCACTAGTATTTCAAAAACCAGCAGGGTTGCCAATGGTGAACAGGTTTCAGCAGAGCTTTCAGACTAAGACAGACTAGGAAGAAAGGCCTGGCAATGTTCTTCTGAAAATCAGCCAGTGAAAACCTTATGGATCACAATAGAACACTGTCCGACTCGCTTGCTTTGAACACATCATACAGAGGGATCAATTGCTGGCAGAGGACATCATGTTTGGTGAAGTAGAGGTCAGCGAGGGCAGGGGAGACCCTCAGGGAGCTGGACTGGCACAACAGCCATGATGATGAACTTGAACGCGCCAGCATCTGTGAGGACGATGCAGGACCAGGCAACAGTTCGTTCTGTTGTACACAAGGCCACCATGATTTGGAGTTGACACGATGGCAGTTATCTATATCTTAATCTGGAGCTGTTTCCTAGGGTCAGGGGTGATTGAAGGCCCCAAAATGAGGCTAGAACTGTCACCAGATCCAGGAAGCATCCACAGGGAAGAAAGGTGAGTACTAGGGTTGAGGCCCATACCCAGTCCCCCGGCCACCTCTAGCCCCGAACACAGCCTCCAGAGCCATCTTGTGATCATCACAAACCTTGAACAGTTTCCCCAAAATTTAACAGCCCAGGCTGGACCCTGGGCCCAGCCTTTTTCCTCAGTTACAGCCTGAACCTGTCAAACCATCCAGCCCCACACGATCGAGGCAGCAAAGCCTGGGGAGCAGACGTGGCTCCCCAGTTGTTTCCCCCTAAGATGGCCAGGGCTGCCTCTTCCGCTTGACACCAGGCATCCAGGGACCCGCCAGAGGAAGGCTCGTGTCCTGTTACTGACCCGCAGGCTGCTGTCACTGAAAGATGGGCCTCCCCCACCCACCCAGATGCTGAATGTCCCTGCCCAGTCACCGGCTCGTTGTTCCACCGGCCGTCTTCCCCCTGCCCCTTCAAGTTTCTCGAGCCATGGAGCTGAACCCTCATCTTGAGATGCCAAGGTTCTTGCTGCTGCTGTTAGCTGCCATCGAGTTGGCCCCTGATTCACAGCAACCCATGCACAACAGGACGAAATGCTGCCCAGTCCTGCACCATCCCCATGATCAGTTTTGGATCAGACCGTTGTAAACCATAGGGTTTCCATTGGCTGATTTTCAGGGGTAGATCACCAGGCTTTTCTTCCCAGTCTGTCTTAGTCTAGAAGCTCCGCTGAAACCAGTTCAGCATTTTAGCAAAACCCAAGCCTCCGCTGACAGCCGGGTGGTGGCTTCACTTGAGGTGCATCGGCCAGAGATCAAACCCAGGTCTCCCGCATGGAAGGCAAGAATTCTACCACTGAATCACCGCTGCCTCATTGCCAAGGTTATCCTGTCCCCAGAATCCTGAGCTCAGGAGGAAGTGTTCTTCTCTACTCCTGTTTCTGGGCGCGTGGTCCAGCTGTCATGCTGGGTGGTGAATCAGCCTCCCTCCTTTTGCCCCCCACCAGGCCTCAGAGCCACCCCTGCCCCCTCAGCCCCTCTGCCTCATGGCAGTTCCCGTGTACACCCCACCAGGCTGTCCTGCTGGCTCCCAGCGCACACCCTGCCCCATTCTGGCCAGTACTAAGCTCCAACCTGGAAATTCACCCTTCTTTGCACCTACATCCAACCCGTCAAGGCCTGCTTTAAATGCTGCCTCCCCAGAAAGCCTTCCCTGAGCCTTGTCTGAGCCCACAGAAGCCCTTGGGGCACCACCCCCCTAATCCTGTTCTAACCCCCTAATCTGGTAGTTCTTTCATTTTTTAAACTCTGAATCTTGACTCAGCAGGTGAGTTAGGCTTGGACGGGTCTGAGGATATCAGATTCATTTTTTCATCCCCACGGAAGGGCCCAGAACATCAGGCTGAGTCCAGCACAAAGCAAGACACCTAGTAAGGGCTTCAGAGTTTGTCTTCACAAGACACTTGAGCCACACAGAGACTCTTCTCCATTGTGGTGCAGGCACACACACTGTCACTCGCAGATGCCTGCTGCTTTCAGAAATCCCTCCACACCGTCGCCCTCACTCAGCCCCATGGCCTTTCAGCACAATCCCAATATCCCCACGTATGTACACTCATCGCCACATGTCAACAGGTGAGCCCAGTCTCAGTCAGTAGCTTGCTATTTTAGAACCCCACCCCCAGCATCAAACTCATGGAGACACAACCAAGATTCCTCCCCATCACACACACACACCCCCAACAAGTTGCTGTCAAGTCGATTCCGACTTATGGCCACCCCATGTGTGTCGGAGTAGAACTGGGCTCCATAGGGTTATCAATGGCTGATTTTTCAGAAGCAGACTGCCAGGCCTTTCTTCCAGGGCACTTCAGGGTGGATTCAAACCACCAACCTTTTAGTGAGTAGCTGAGAGGTTAACCGTTTGTATCACCCAAGGAGTCCATCACAGACACACCTGTAATCTTAGCCCCGTGCACTTTTACACTCAGACACACACACCATCCTTCTGAAACGATCATTCCAGGTCACCCAGTTCCATCCTTGTCTCCCCTGTCCTTCAGTGGGCATGGAGACCACCCACTCACCCCTCACCACCTCCACTCTCATTCTGCTTTCCCCCAAGCTCCCATGGAGGTGAGCCTAGTGGCCTCTGGCCTCCCCTCTCCCGCCACCTCCCCACCTCCACCACTCACAGGCAGCAGGGCTGGCTCTGGATGGCCCACCCTCCCCCACCTCTGTTCACCCCAGTTGCTAGGCACCCTTGTGCCAATCCTGAGCACCCATTGGGGGCCTTTGGGGCATGGCAGGGGAGAGGGTCTCAGAAAATGACACGAAACAGAAACTAAAATAGAGCCTCAGCAGACCCCAACCCCCACTGAGCCACCCACATGGGTTGGTGTAACCCGGCTGGACTGTCCTGCCACCACAAAAACTGCCCTGACCACCTGGGGACCGGGGAGGGAGACATGATCAAGAAGCCCTCTGTCCACCGTCTAGACCTTGACCCTCCCTCGCCAGGGTCACCTCCTATCCCAGTTCCATATGTCTCTCTTGGACTGGGGCCCACCTACCTCTCTCACACTCCCCTCAACTGCCCCCCCCCCAAGATGACAAGCTCTTGTCACCTCCTCCAGATCACCTCGGCACCCCACGCCCTCCCTGCAGCCCCGGAGAAGAGCCCTCATTGTCACCACATTGGCCTGTTTTGGGTTGGTTTGGTTGGTTTTCTTAAGGCTCCGTTTGTGGGTGAGGCGGGGCGGGGGCGGGGGCTGCCTCTCATTTCTCCTCCGACAGGTCGCGCTTCTTCCAGCTGTCGAGAATGTACTTAAGGAGGAGGCCGAGCTTCCGGCGGGCCGAGAGCGGGGCTTCCTCGCCGCCGCCCTCCCCGGCACCCCGCTTTTCCACGCTGCTGTCGCCGGCTGCCTCCAGGCTGAGCTGCGGCTGCGGCTCGTCCTCCTCCAGGGCCTTGATGCGGACCCTCTGGGCGTCCTCGGCCATCTCGTTGAGGCAGCCCTGCAGCATGGTGTACACGGTGCCGAAGCTGATGCCGCCGGCCACCAGCGTGCCAAACACGGGGATGCCCTTCTCGAAGGCCCGCGCCACCCGCATGGCGCCGTCCGACGACTGCGAGTAGAGCCGCAGCACCGTCTCCGGCGACACCTCGTTGGCCAGCGGCGAGCGGATGACCGAGCGCAGGTCGCCCGCCTGCTTGCCCACCTGCTCGGCCAGCTTGGCCAGTGAGTCGTCGTCCAGGCCGAAGCTGCGGTGGTAGCCCCGCAGCGAGCGGACCAGCAGGGCGTCGTCGTAGGCGGCCGCCAGCCCCGGCACAGGCAGGGCCTGGATGACGCCGGACACCAGGGCCGTCTTGAGCACCTGCTCCTGGAGCATGTCCTTCTTCTTCTGCAGGGCTTCCAGCGAGATGTCGGGCAGCGACAGCAGGCCAGCATGGCGCCGATGGGCGGGCAGGTCGTGCTCCCAGGTAGACATGAGCAGCGGGAAGTCGTAGCGGGCCGGCGAGAGGTTGGACACCAGGAAGATGCGGGGGTCGGACACGCCGGCCGCCCGCAGCCGCTCCACGCAGTGGTCACGGATCTCCTGCAGGACAGCCGCCTCGCTGAAGCCGGAGGGCCGCTGGGTGCGCGAGGCCGCCAGGTCCTCGTCCACCTTGGTGCGCACAAAGTAGAACTTCTTGCCCTGGCGCAGGATCTCAGAGGCCAGGCGGCTCTCCACGGCCCCGCAGCGGCGGGGGGACACCAGCAGGAAGAAGTCATAGCGGCCAAAGTCCACTTGCTTCAGGTACTTGTCGGCCGAGCAGCCCGGAGAGCCGGCGCCGGGAAGGTCCCACAGCGTCACGTCAGGAAACTGTGGGTGCGGGTAGGGCGACGGCTGCATGGTGGTCTCCACGACGCCCGTGAGCGCCGCGCCGGGGTCCTCGGCCCCCAGGCCGCGCAGGGCATTGATGAGGGACGACTTGCCAGCTCCCGACTCGCCTGTGACACCCACCTCCAGGCGGATGCACTCCGAGGAGGCCAGCAGCTCGCGGAGGCGCGAGGCGGCCTGGGGGAGGTCGCCCGACTCGAAGGCCGTGCGCAGGGCCTCCAGCTCTTCCTTGGCCATGAGGATGGTGGTCTCCTCCTCCCTGGGCACCACCTGTGACTTCGAAGTAGCCATGGTGGCCACCGTACAGAGGGCGACTGGGAATGGGGGAGAGTCACAGGACGCGTGATCCTAGGTGTCTGCGGGGGAGAAGGGAGCCGTTCACGCCTCCTGGGCCTTGGCAGGGAGAGAGAGAGACATCGGGGCTGTGAAGGAAGTCTGCCTGCGTTCCTACAACCCTCTCCACCTCAAGAACCCAGGGTACATTTTTTGGCAAGAGTTAGGGGACTTTAGGAGTCCCCAGGTGGTACAAACACTTAATGAACTCAGGGGATAACAGAAAGGTTGGTGGTTCCAGTCTACTCAGAGGCACCTGGAAAGAAAGACGTGGCAATCTACTTCCAAAAAATCAGCCATTGAAAACCTTGTGGAGCACAGTTCTGCTCTGACACACATGGGGTCACCATGAATCAGAGTTGACTCAGCAACTGGTCACTGGTAGGGTTTACAGTCCATCTCTGCCACTAACTTGCTGTGTGACCTGGGGCAAAAAGAGGCCCCTCTCTGAGCCTATTTGCTTCTCTGGATAACAGGTGTAATGATAGGCCTGCCTCCTGAGGTGCTGTCAGGAGTCTCTGGGGTAACCTGTGAGTCACCCAAGGACCGGTGTTTAACACTCTGCTGTCACGGACTGAAATTCTTAATCATTTTCGAACAAGGGGCCCCACCAACTATAGCCAGTCCTACATAGCAAAAGGCCTAGGTTTGTGGTGAGGGCCCAATAAAAGAGAGTGTTTGTGGCATTTGCTGCTGCTTCTGCTGTTATTGGGAGACAGCATAAGGTAATGGTGATGACTGCCCAGGCTCTGGAGCCAGGCTGCCTGGGTTCAAATCCTGACTCTACCACATACTCACTGAGTGATTTGGGGCAAGTTACTTAACAACTCTCTGCTTTGCTTTACTCATCTGTAAAATGGGGATGCCAAACCTAAAAAAAAAAAAAAGCTAAACCTGTTGTCAAGTCGATTCCAACTCATGGTGACCCCATGTGTTACAGAGTAGAACTGCCCCATAGGGTTTCCAAGGCTGTAATCTTTATGGAAGCAGACCAGTGCAGCTTTCTCCCTTGGAGCAACTGGTGGGTTTGAATCACCAACCTTTCGGTTAGCAGCTGAGCACTTAACCACTGTGCCGCTCAAACCCAGGTCCCTGGGCTCCTTCGGCCCCACTGAAGAGCTGCTTTTCCTTTAGCTTCCTGTCTTTGCTTCCCCTCTTGTCCCCTTTGTCTCTTCCCCCTCTCCTCTCTGCCCCCACCTCACCCTGCAGAATTGTGTCCTTACCATACTGCTCCCACCAGATCAGACCCTCCTGTGAGGTAAGGGCATTTCCCCACCTCCTGTACTTTCCTTCCACCTCCCCCTCCTGCACCCTCTCTCCCTAATCCATCTCAAGGTATGGCCTGGGTCAGGGAGAGTGGAGTCCTGGGACAGGTCACAGTAGCAAGGAGCAGACAAATCAGTGGCCTTTGGGCAGAAATGGGGTCGAGAGGGCTGGAATTGGGGCAGGAAACCCCTGCCCCAGCCCGCCCAGCAGGGCCAGCCAGATAGCCTTGCGGTCGAGTACTCACCTGCCCTCAGGACTCACCTGCCCTGCAGGCTCTCCCTCTCCCCTCACACTCTCCCCACTGGTGAGGTCTCCTCCCCTGTTAGCCAAGGTCAGACCCCGTTGCTAGGATGCATTGTAGTAGGAAGCAGCAGTTTATTGGCCAGCCTGCCCGTGTGTAATAATGTGACAGTGATGTCAGGGGATGGGGCCCGAGGTGGGGCAGGGACCCCAGCCCCCCAACCCTGCTCATGGGGCCATCACTGGGTCACCCTGGGCCCTCAGTCCCCGACATGGGCCCCAAACCAAAGTAGGACAGAGTAAACTGCACTCTAGGGTTCCCGAGCCTATAAATTTTTACAGACGCAGACTGCCACGTCTTTCTCCCACAAAGCAGCTGGTGGGTTTGAACTGCTGACCTTTTGGTTGACAGCCAAATGCTTAACCACTGCACCATCAGGGCTCCTTCACATGGGCCCAGATGGTCTTTTTCTTTCTAACACAAAATCTTTCCATGGTTGAACATAGATCTACCATATGACCCAGCAATCCCAATCCTGGGTATAAACCCAAAAGATTTGAAAGCAGGAATCAAACTTGTACACCAATGTTCATTGCAGCACTTTTCACGATAGCCAAAAGTGGAAACAACCTAAGTGTCCATCAACAGATGAATGGATAAACAAAACGTGGTACATACGCACAAAGGAATGCTACTCATCCATAAAGAGAAATGAAGCCCTGATGTATGCCACAACATGGATGAACCTTGAAAACATCATGCTGAGCAAAGAAAATCAGTGGCAAAAGGACAAACACAGTATGATCTCACTTAGATGAGATAAGCAAATATATAGAAACCAAAGATTATTAGTGGTTACCAGGAGTGGGAGGGCTGGAGAAAGTGGGAGTTTTTGCTTAGGGGACATGGAGATTATGTTAATGGTGGTGGAATGATTTTGAAAAGGATAGCAAGAATAGTTGCACAACTTGAAGAAAGTAATCAATGTCACAGATTGTACATGTAGAAATTGTTGAGTGGGCCTATGTTTTCTTAATGTATATTTTCACCACACACACACAAAAAGCCCTTGCATGGTCTTCATGATGCCCAGGACAAATTCCCAGCTCTGAAGGGGGAATGCTCTGACTCTACGCCTCCCATCCAGGCTGCCTAAGTAAAGGCTTTGGGCCCAAAGCATTCTCTGATAAGGAGGCTGGGAATTGGGTCACCTTCTCTCTCCCAGTTCCTTCTCCTTATCAGAGAAGGCTTCCCTCTGTTCTGGGCACACAGTTATATCTGTTCCCAGTGGGGAGGGAGTGGGGTCTCTCATGCTACGGCACAAGAGGGAGGACATGTTAGATTGTAAGAGATGGCCTTGAGGGGTAGACTGAAGGGGAAATAGGCTTTGTGCAGTCAAACATGAGCGCCCTCATGCTGTCTGCTAGTTCACTACTGTTTGCTGAGTCATTCTTATGTAAGTCCCTGGCTTGTAGCCACTGTTGTCCACCACCACTATAAAACCTCTGCCTTCTCACAGCAGAGTGTGGATATCTGCTTTGGTCCTGCAGCCACCCAGGACTTGGCCTTGTCTGTAAATATGCCTAATAAACTCCTTTTCCACCACACTGGAGTTACCCACCTTTTTCTTCGGTCTCTTGGCACCCTCCATTTTTGGAGGCAAGTTTCACTTTCCTGGTCCATGCCTGGATACCAGCTCCTCACCTGTCATTCCATGGCCTAGCCCTGCTCCCGATTCCACCCTTTTCTCCCCACCCAGAGAAGTTATTCACTTTCCCTTCTCAGTACTGTCTACTCATCTACTCACTTCATGAGGAGTTGTACATGCTCAAGGGTAGTGATTTAGCTTGGCCAGCACTGGCCAGGACAAGAGGAAGATGGTGATGTGGGGTAGGCAAGAGATCTGAACTGCCAACATGGTACCTGCCCACCAGGGCAGACCTGGACCTGCTCAGCACTCACGGCCCATGGTGGCAAAGGGGCAGCACCCATGCCCAGTTCTAAATCTGGTACCCAGATTGCTGAGCTCTGGGCTTCCTTCTTCCCTGGAATTTTAACTTCCTCGTTACCAACCCCCAGCACACCTTTCAAAACCCAGCTCAGCTGTCAAAACTCTTCTACAATGTCTTGCTTGATTCTGTCTCTCCCTCCTCTTTTTCCTCATGACCCTCTACAATTGTGTCAGGAGCTGGACATGTGAAGATAGTAGAAATGGTAAATGTTTTGTTACCTATATATTTACCACATACAAAAAAAGTCCTAAAAAAATTGTATTGGTGTAATAAAGGGGAAGACTCAAGCAGAGACAGAGACATGAATGAGAAAAGAGAGATAGGCAAAGTCACCCAGGAGACGGGGGGCAAGGGTGGCGGACGAGACTCCCCAGGACAAAAATAGAGAGTCAGGCAGGAAGACTGAGTGAAAGAGAGACCAAGTCAGAGACAGTCACAGAAAGACAGACAGACTCAAGACAGAGAGACTATGCAGAGAATCTAAAGAAGATGTAGAGCCAGAAAGACGGGAAGCAAGAAGTGGAGACGGAAACACAGACAGGTACGGAGCCAAAGGTCTAGAGAGGCCAAGACACTGGACATCCTGCCAGCCGGGGGCACCCCCGGGCTCCGGCAGCACCGCTCCGCCCCATCCTCCCTCTCTGCAGCTTCTAAACATCCCCGTAAATCCTCTGGTATGATTACAGCCACCCCCACCTCTCTCCCCTCCTTGCCTCTCTGCCCCAGCCAGGTTCCACGGGGCCTTCTTCACCCGTGTTTCCTGAGGTGTGCTGATAGGCCCTACTACTCAAGGAATTTTCCTGACATCCGCAGTTCTGAAAAGGAACCTGCAAAAACAACTGAGGAGGAGCTGGAGACCCGGAAAGGGAATAAAACCAACCAGTTGCCATGGAGTTGACTCTGATGCATGGCGACCCCATGTGTGTCAGAGTAGAACTGTGCTCCACAGGGTTTTCGTGGCTGATTTTTCAGAAGTAGATCACTAGCTCTTTCCTCCGAGTCACCTCTGGGTGTACTTGAACCTCCAGGCTTCTGGTTAGTAGCCAAGCGCATAAACCATTTGTACCACCCAGGGACTCCAAAGAAAAGACACTGACCCTCGAATGCAGAGTAATTAGAGACAAGCAAGATGAAAACAAACATAGGGATACAAAAGCCTCGCAAACACACAGACAGAATGACCACAGAGACAGAGCGCCACACAGACAACACCTACAGACTGCATCCCCGAAACCCACAAATCAGTTTATGACCTTTGCTCACTCTGCCTCAGCCCCGATGGCCCTACGAACCCAGCCCAGAGCCAGGGCACCAGAGTTGCAGCCGCCCAGCCTCTGTCCTCAGGGGGCCCCAGGCTGAGAAAAGAGAGGGGTGACTGTCAGCCAAGACAGAGCCGCAGGGCACCTGCACACGTGCATCCAATGAAGCCACAGTTTTAAGCACATCAGACAGAGTAATTCATTTAACAGGGACCAGAATTCTGTTCTCCCAACCTATCACCCCAAGACAGACCTAAGACCCAGGTGCTGAGACTGGGATAGAGAGAAAGAGAGAAATGAGATGAACACATACATTCATCCTTTCCTTCCAGATTCTGAATGTCATCAAATCTAAGATGCCGTTGGTTGTAAGATGCATTTTAAGTGCCACTAACAAAGGAAAAAATGGTGCCAACAAAACTATAACAATATTTCTTTATCACTGAAAATTGTTATTTTGTGCTTCTTGAAAGAGTTCTTGGTGGGCTTACTTAGAAAACACAGATTTTTATTCTATATCATTTGTGTGCACATATATATAGGAAAACACAAGGGAAATGCAGGTGGTCCCCAACTTATGATGGGGTTCCATTCAGACAACTCCATTGCGAGTTGGTTCTGATGAAAGTTGAACACCTCTCTCTTTTTTTTTTTTTAGTTTTCATTATTATTGCCTTTAATTATCAGTATCTTTAAAAATCCAATCTTTGTCTTGGGGGGGGTTGGAAACATTACATATAAATTTACAGACATATTTTAACACTGTATGTAGTACATATTACTAGCAATAACATGTACCAAAAAAACCAGACGGCAGTAAGTGCAGTTTGTTGTAACTCGAATATGTTGTAAGTTGGGGACTACCTGTAAATTGGTTAAGCTTTTCCTAAAATAATGCAGAGCCTGACTCTTTGGAGCCACTTTTTGCCTCTGTTCATGCTTTAACACACAGTTTCATCCTCTGTGCCAATCAGGAGGAGCCATGATGCTAATGAACACCCAAGCATTGACAGCTACGTTACAATGTTTGCCTGGTTGTCGATCATTGTAAAGTGTCATCAGTCAGCTCTAACTCTACCTGATTTCAGAGATGTTAAAATGTGAAAGGGGGAAAAGAAAGTGCACCTCAGAATCAACGAAAAATATGTGCTTCCTTAGAGTCCATGCTGTGTTTGGCCAGCCAGAATGGGAGCACAGCAGAGACAGAGGCAGCCTGGCCCTGTGTTATGGACTGAATTAAAACCAACAACAACAAAAAAAACCAAAGCCGTGGCCATGGAGTCAATACCAGCTCCTGGCGACCCCGTGTGTTACAGAGTGGAACTGCTCCATAGGGTTTTCTTGGCTGTAGTCTTTACAGAAGCAAATTGGGAGACCTTTCTTCCGCAGCACTGCTGGATAGGTTCAAACTGACAACCTTTAGGTTAGTACCCCAATGCTTGTTGCCATCGAGTCGATACCAACTCATAGTGACACTATAGGACAGAGTGGAACTGCCCTAAGTGGTTTCCAAAGCTGTAAATCCTTGCAGAAGCAGACTGCCACATCTTTCTCTTGTGGAGCTGCTGGTGGGTTCGAAGCACTAATCTTTCAGTTAGCACCCAAGTGCTTTAGTAGTCTAACGCAAACCACTTGTGCTATCCAGGGACCTTTTGTCTGTGATATCAATTGTAATGAGATCTTCACTCCAATGTCACCTCCACACAGGTGACCTTCCCTACATACTTTTGGTATAGTAGCCCTGTTATGAATTGAACTGGTCCCCTAAAATATGTGCTGGAATCCTAATCTCCATCTGAGGATGAAATCCTGCTGGACATAGAGTTTTCT